CCACTGCAACTTCCTTATGAAGGAGCGCTGTTACTATTCCCATTTTATACACAAGAAGTCTGAGAAAGAGATTAAGTGATTTGCCCAAGGTCCCACAAGTAGTAACAGGAAATCAAACCAGGAGTTTGACTCTCGAGAGTACATATTTTTAAGGGTCTCTGTTTTTATTTAATTATTTTAATTGATAAAAGATGTGCATATATCATTATTACATTATGTTTTGAAATAAATATATGTTGTCGAATGACTAAATTGAATAATTCACATATACATTACCTCACATCATTTTTTGGGGTGAGTATGTTTTTCTCAAGCAGTTTTCAAGAATATAATGCATTGTTATTAAAGTTGAGTAGTACCAAGGATATGGATTGAAGGGGATCCTTATAGACAAGTGTGTGTGTGTCTTTACTGCTATGTTCTACTCCTGCCCAGTGAATCAGAATGATTGAGGAACCATGGCTATCTTCAGCCCAAGTCCCCTCTGTTCCCTTTAACGCAATTGAGAAATCAAGAGTAGTTATTTCTTTTTTAAAAAAGATTTGTTTGTAGGGGACTGGAGAGATGACTCGGCAGTTAGGAGCACTTACTGAAAGAACCTGAGTTTGATTTCCAGGCACCCATTGCAGGTGGCTTACAACTGCCTGTAACTCCAGTTTCAGGGATTCCAAGACCTCCAGCCTCTATGGGCACTTCACCCACGTGCTAAACATACACACAATTAAAAACCCATTTTTAAATATCAGATTGGGGCTGGAGAGATGGTTCAGCAGGTAAGAACACTGTTCTTGCAGAAGACCTGGGTTTGAATCCCAGCACCCACATGGCAGCTAACAACTGTCCATAACTCCAGTTCCAGGGGATCTGATGGCCTCTTCTGTCCTTCGCGGGCATTGCACGACACGGGTGCACTTACATACATGCAGGCAATACACACATACACATAAAATAAAAATAATAAATAAAATATTTAAAAAAGTATGTATCAGTTCGGCCTCTGGGCATGTCTGTAAGACATTTTCTTGATTGTTGAGTGATGAGGGAGGGTCCAATGCAATGTGGGCGGTGTCACCCCTAGTCAGGTGGCCCTGGGTTATAAAAAGGGCAGGCTGAGCACAGGTCAGAGGAGCAAGCCAGGAAGCAGTGTTCCTCTGGTCAGTGCTTCAGCTCCTGCCTCCAGGTTCCTGCTTGAGTTTCTCCCTGACATTCCTCAGTGAGAGACTGCGAGCTGTAAGATCTAATAAGCCCTTTCCTCCCCAAGGTTTTCTTTTTTATTTATTTTTTATTGTCAGAGTGTTTTATCACAGAACAGAAAATGAGTAGGACAGTGATAGTGCCTTTATTGTTACAGACACTGAAAGAGATACTGTCTCCCTAGGCCATGTGCCACAGACATACATCTCTGGAAGGATAGTCCAAAAGAAAAGCTGTCAGTTTTTAAAATTTAATTCCTTCCCAATTTTAAGTAGCTTGGGCTGACTTTGAAGTCACTGTGCAAGCCAAGCGAACCCTAACCTGCAGCGACCCTTCTTCCTCATCCTGAGTGCTGGGACTGCAGCTCTCTGCCACCCTTCCTGCCTCTGACTTTTTACTTGAAAAGTATTTAAAAAGTTCTAGTGTCATTATCCTCTATGTTTTTCTCCTGTAGTTTTGTCTTCTTTTTTTCAGATCTCAATGTGAATCTCATACTCTTCTGAGAGCCTTCTCAAGGCTTTTGGTAGTTTAGAAATGACATCAGTAAAATTCCTATATTTATAGTATCATTCTTGAACAAAAAATTTAAACTTCTGACTGAGCCTTGACACTCCTACAAGGACTGTGCTGTCTTCTGAATCTCTTTCCAGGGAATCTCTTCCTTGCCACTAGGATTGGAGGTGAAGAGTGGTGACTTTTATGTTCAGGACTTTCCAGATGACTAATTCTCCTCCTCCCCAAAACCTTTTAGATTTGAATCTCAAGCCATCAGCTTATGCCTTCTGCTCCTTACGTTTGCTGGAGTTATAAAGTAAACCCAAGTCATTGACTGGAGCTTCTTAAGGATTTGGGGTCTTGGTCACAGTCTCTCCATTTTTATTGCTGTCATGATCCTGATAATTTCAATATCCACATGAGTTATCCCTCCTAACACCCTAAGGCTCTCTCAGTTCCTTAAATGTGTCGTGGATGGCTGGGCTGTCGTCTTGCTTCCCACCACTAACAGTAATTCCCAAGGCCTCAGCAGTACCAGCTTCTGTACCTGCCCTGCAGCCTCAGCATCAGCTTCGTGCATCTCAGACTCTAGTATCTCCTGTCTGTCCAACTCATTTCTTGTGGTGATCCTGTGCTGGTTAATTTTTGTCAACTTGTCACAAACTGGAGACACCTGGGAGGAGGGAGCCTCAGTTGAACAAAAGCCTCCATCAGATTGGCCTGTGCGAATATCTGAGAACACTCTTGATTGCTGGTTGACGTAGTGGGCAGTGCCATCCCTGGCCAAGAGAGCCTGGGCTCTGTTCCTCTGTGGCCTCTGCTTCAGTTACTGCCTGCAGGCTCATACCTGGAGTTTGCGTCCTGGCTTCCTTTGATGATCAGTGAACAGCTGTAACCGGTAAACTGGGATAAACCCTGTCCTCCCCAAGTTGTTTTTGGTTATGGTGTTTATCACAGCAACGAAAAACAAACCAGGACAAATGTCAACTCCAGTAGACTTAACTGACTCCAGATGTTCAAAACCTCCTGCGACTACCACTACTTTTCAGGTTTCTGTTCCACTCAACCTCCCTTCCTGTCTAGCTTACATTTCATACTCATCTTTATAATCTTTCTTGCTTGACTGTCTCCAGCTTTACAGCTCCACTTTTTAGGTGGGCATGCTTGTCAAAACTCCAGCTCTACTTAACTGCAAATCTTACTGCCTCAGTTTCACCTTCACACGTGAAACGGGATGTGGCTGGATCAAAACCTACAGCATACATCATTTCAGCTCAAATCTAGAATAACGACCTTCATGGGACTTTTCTGTGCCCTTCATACCCCACATCATTAGGACCATATTTGTATTTTATTCCAAAAATAGATCGAGAATCTGTCCCATGTGTCACTGTCAGCCACCTCTGCCAAACTGGTCTAGACTGTTCATCATCCCTTTCCTAGATTGTTAGAAAGGTCTTCCTACATTGATTCTGTGGTTTTCTTTGGTTCTCTGTAGTTTATTTGCAATAAAGCAGGCAAAGTGAACTTATGTCTTCTTCAGTCTCTTTCTTCAGATATTTAAAATTTTCATTGAAGAGGTGCTTAATGTTTTTGGTTAGGTTTATTCCTACATATTTTAACTTATTTTAGGCTATTGTGAATGGAAATGTTTCCATGAATTCTTTCTGAGTGCTTGTTATTGTAGTAAGAAAGGCTACTGATTTTTGTAAATTGATTCTGTATCCTGCCACTTTGCTGAAAGTGTTGATTATTTCTAGTGGAATTTTTATTATCTAGTGTATAATATCGTATCATCTGCAAAGACAGATAATTTGACTTCTATTCCAATTTGTATCCCTTTAATTTCTTTCTCTTGTCTTACTGCTCTAACTAGAGTTTTAAGCACTATATTGAAAGGGAGTAGAGATAGTGGACAGCCTTGTCTTGTTCCTAATTTTAATGGTAATGCTTCTAGATTTTCTCCATTTAGAATTATGTTGACTGTGGGTTTGCTGTATATAGCTTTAATTATATTGAGGTATGTTCCCTTCAGTCCAGTTCCCTCTAGGACTTTTATCATAAATGCATATTGGAGTTTGTCAAAGGCCTTTTATATGTCTATTTAAAATTTCCACAAACTAATGCTTGTGGCATCTGGACACTTTGTAACCTCTTTTGTGAATAAGGTCTCAGTGATGCTAAAGGAACAGTAGCTGTGGCTAGTAAGAAATCAGATCAAAACCGAACAGAGCCAGCTCTCTATTTCCATTGTAAGCAGAATGAAAGGGCTCAGGACGTTTCTTCTGGATCAGAACTCTCCCAGAGAAAGGCCTCCTTAGCCTTCAAACTAAAAACTCTCAATGTGATTTAAATAAAGCCCTTTATGAAGTAAGGGACATTTTGGTTGGTAATAATTGCCACAATTATGTAGGCTTGCCAGACTTGCACATTCGTGAGTTTTCACAAGTCAGTTGGGTCCTTTCCTCAGTAAATCAGTTTAAGTTTGAAAATTTTTCTCTGTTGACTCACGGAACCTAGTTGTCTTCCTGTGACAACATTTACCTTACAGTTTGATGATATTGAGTACCTTTCTAGAGTCTGTAGAGTTGTAAAAGGAGAAAATGCTGAATAAAGGATCATTTCTAAAAAGAAAATAGACTGTGCTGGATAAAACCAGTTTTGGACATGAGGTCTATGCTGTGCTTTAAAGTCAAGGAGACATCTTGCTCTTTACTCTCAAAGTGGGTACTTTAGATTCGGAAAGTAGTTGCATCTTTGTGAAAGTAAACAGCGGTTGTGAATAAACTAATGTAATATATAATATAATACCTGCTTCTGAATATTATTTGTCTTGCTATTAAAGTTTATTAAGATTATAGAATTTTCCTAATTATCAAAATATTGTGTAATTAAACCATTTCAAACCAAATATACTTATGTATGTACTTCTTAACTTCAATTAATTGCTGCACTCAAATGCATTATATTATTCGATTTGTTTTGAACTTTATCATTGTGCCTGAATTTATATACACAATGGTATAGTTAATGGTGATAGCTTGTATTTTCTGAATATATATATATATATACCAGTTATTGCTTACTGTTCATGGACTCATTCTGAAAGAACACCATATTAAATAGGTATATTTATTATTCATAAATGATAAATTTAGAAATGGAAGCATAAAGAAGTTAATAAGTTGCCCAAGATTATATATTTATGTCTAAACTAGGAAATAATACTGGAAAGTCAAATTTAAACATGTTAAAAGTTTTTTTTATTGATTCTAATGTTGAATTTTGTTCTCTCTCTAACACTTTTTTAGTTGACTTAGAGCACATGCGAACAGTAAAACCTGACAAACACTTGCGATTTTGCCAGGAAAATGGTTTTAGTAGCCACTTTGTTTCGGCCAAGACAGGAGACTCTGTAAGTATAATCATGAATACGGTGTTGATAGTGATGCTTTACTTTTCTTTGCTACTGTTCATAGGAAGCGTACTTTTCTTAATAAATAAATGAATTCTTATTGAAGATGTAACTAGATCCCACAAGAATGTTTATTTTGGTTAGGCTAATTTTATAGTTAATTTAACAGAGACTTGCAAAGCATCTAAGTTGTCTATAACCCTGCTGTCTAGAGAAGATCTTGCAGAGCCTTGTGTGCTTCCTCTGCTTGTCTGTGGAGTTCCGCTGGTGCCACAGCAGATTGGGCTTGCTGCATATGCACTCTGTGCTGAGTGTTCATCAGTCTGGCCTTTCCCAGTGCGTAGGTAGGTTGTAGAGAGTCATGTCACAGGGCCCAGTTTATGAAGCTAATTAAGTGGTAGAGATGGGCTTGTGAGCCCCCAAAACTGACATTTCAGGGACACCATCTTTACCACAGCTAATATTCATTAAAAAATTAAGCTCATGGTATAGAAATAATTTTATGTTGTGCTTTTATTTAATAGTTTTTGTGTGAAAAATTTATCATGTAATTTAATATTATAAAATAAATGTTGTCAGGGCTGGAGAGATGGTTAAGAGCACTGGCTGCTCTTGCAGAGGACCGAGGTTTGATTCCCAGCACCCATATGGCAGCTAACAACTGTCCTAACTCCAGTTCCAGGGTATCCAGTCCTTTTCTTCTGACCTCCATAGGCATTACACTACACGGGTGCACTTACATACATGCAGTCAATACAATCATACACATAAAATAAAAATAATATTTAAAAAATAAATGTTATCCATTAAATATGCAATCATGTCCCTATTGTTCGACATGTAGGTTTTTCTAAGTTTTACTATAATCTTTTAATATATATGTATATATATATTTTATGTGTATGAGTGTATTGCCTGTATGTATGTAAGTGCGCCTATGTTGTGCAATGCCTGCAGAGGTCAAGTCCCCTGGAACTGGTGTTACAGATGGTTGTTAGCCACCATGTGGGTGCTGCAATCATGTCCCTATTGTTCGACATGTAGGTTTTTCTAAGTTTTACTATAATCTTTTAATATATATGTATATATATATTTTATGTGTATGAGTGTATTGCCTGTATGTATGTAAGTGCGCCTATGTTGTGCAATGCCTGCAGAGGTCAAGTCCCCTGGAACTGGTGTTACAGATGGTTGTTAGCCACCATGTGGGTGCTGGAAATTGAACCTGGGTCCTCTGCAAGAGTAGCCAGTGCTCTTAACTGCTGAGCCGTCTCTACAACCACTGAATGTAATGTTTTAATGTAAAATTTTATTTGCAACTTTTGATGTTTTGATTGTTTCCTTTAGATAAATTTCTTAACAGGAGATTCAGATATAATACCAGATGCTCACGAGAAGGCTAAATCAGCCTGTTCCTTCAGTAACACTGTGTGACTGCAGTAACTCTACCAGGCTCTTTTTTAATACTAAGGATTTAATTATTTTTAAATCCTTGCTGAATTCATAAGTCAGTAAAAACAAGAGCAAAGTAAATAACAATAAATAAATCTTACTAATTTGGAATTTCTTGAATGACAGTTTAGGTTGAAATTTATAAAATTTTATTAACCATTTATTTCTGTGTAACAGTTTATAGTTTTCCATTGGTTTAAAAAATGACTATGACCATATTTATATTAGAGGTAATAACCATTTGTTACAAGTTTTGCAAATATTTGTCACTGTCGTGGTTTTGTTTATAATTTTTAACTTTCTGAGAATTTCAGTCATGATTACTCTACTTACATCATTTCATCATTGCCCCTTCTCCTTTTCTTTCTCCAGCGCTTCCCACATCCCTCCTCATTCCTTCTAAATTTCATGACCTTTTCTTTTCTTCAATTATTTTCACACACACACACACACACACACACACACACACACACACACACATATACACACACACACACACCCTTTGCGTGCTAGGGATCAAATCCATGTCCTTGCTCATGACTAAATGTTTTTTTTTTTTTTTGAGACAAGGTCTCCCTGTAGCCCCAGCTATCCTGGAACTCACTATGTAGACCAGGCTGGCCTTGAACTCACAGAGCTCCGCCTGCCTTTGCCTCCCAAGTGCTGGGATTCAACCAAAAGAAGCTTGAAATTTTTTGTGGTTTAATCTTTTTAGTATTTTCCCTTTAATCATGTCCTTGTTAGTGTTTATGACTAGCATAAATATCCAGAAATAAAATGATGCGTAGTCTTTGGGTGATCCCATGCCATTTAGTGCATCTTGCAGCTCTTCCCTTTGGATAATGTAAATATGGGCACGAGCCCACACACCTACTTCAAGAGGTACAGCTTCAGCACTTCTTGATAACCTCCTCTGTGAATTGATGGAGCTTTTTCTTTCACATCTTCCTACAAGTCTTTTTATCATTTCAGGATTATTTTATAACAGTATTTTAGCTTATGCTTAACATAATATTTCTGTGTGCTTTTATTTAAACTTCTATAAATAATCCCATTGTTTTCTTGCATTATTTTAAAATGATTCATATGGAATTAGTCCTCTCTGGTTCCAGGTGTCCTCCACCCATTGCTTGAGAAACTGAGCACCTCTGTCAGTGATTTCAGTATCCTTATGTTTGTCCACCCAACCGCAGCCACTCATGCCTGTGCCTACAAGATCTTGTCCTGTCGTCATGTCCCTGAGCAGTGTTATTATTTCAGTGTCAGACAGCCTAATCACTGACCATCAGCTGCCTTCTGTCTTCCCAGTTCACACTGAGGGTCCTAACTCACTCACTCATTCTTCAGCTCTGGCAGGACTTATGGGACACTGATCTGTGTTTTTGAAGCCTTTAGCCTTTCATTTCCTCAGTCCCTCTCTTCCTAACTTTGAACCCATGCTAGGCAAGATCATCTCTGTGCCTGTGCTCCCAGTTCCCTTTACATTCTTTTCCTTTGTCAAACTCCTTTTACTGCTGTAAAGCCTCTTTAAAAGAAGTCTCCACTTTTCTGTGGTAGCACCTACATCTGTGACCACAGAAATTCAGAGACATGCTAGAGGTTCACTTTAAATTTACAATCATCAGCCCCCAAGTGAGTCTTTAGTGCTGCTTGGTAATACACTGTATTGTTCCAGCCTGTCATCTCACCATCCTTCCTAGATGACTCTTTCATGGCTGCTTCTCTTTTTAGATGTTCAGAACATTCTCCGCCATCCCCTCAGGCGATGATCTTGGTTCATATTTTGTAAGAATTTTGAAGCAAACAAGAAAATTCCTCCTGCCGCTGCTCAGTGTGCATCCACCTGTTATCCCTCTCCACTCTGCTCCACATCTCTGCCCATGTTGTCTGTCTTCCAGATCTACGCTTCTGTTCCTGGCTAATAAACTCCTTGTCTGTGCACTAGTCCCAGCTCCCTTTGCCTAATCAAAGACGTGGCTTTAGTAATACCCCTTTCTTCAGCATCATCTTTGTCTACTGGGTTATCAGCATACAAAACACCATGACATCGCAAAAACAAGAGGTCATGATTCCGCGTCCTTCTCCAGCCATTCCCATTTCCTCGCTTCTCAGCAGAATGCTTTGAAAGTTGTCTGTTTCCTCTCCCACTTTCTCTTCAGCAGTTACATCAGACTTTGAGTATTTAACCCAGACCGCTGTTCTCTTAACCAGTGACCCGCTTTTGTGAGTTCAGTGGTGGCTTCTGATTCTTAGTGGCAGCGTGCACAGCGATCTCTCTGAATTACTTCTTCACTCAGCTTCCAGGATCTGCACTACTGGTTTCCTTTCCCACATTAACTCTTCTGCTGTTGTGCTTATTCGTTCTTGTCTCTCCAAGCTCTGAATGCTGGTGTGCTCTTGGGCTCAGTTCTTGACTTTCTTTTTTAAAACTTTACTCTCTTAGCACTTATGTGAGGCTCATGGTTTTGCTCAGATCTTTTCTCTGGATTCCAGATTTATATATGTATGCCTGCTCAGCATTGCCACGGAGATGTCTAACAGTTTAACATCTCCAGAGCTGAGCTCTTGATATTCTCCCTCCCTTTGTAAGTGGCAGATTGAGTCTACTGGTTGCTTAAGCCAAGGCGCTTTTGGAGTCATCTTTGGCTCCCCCCTCTCTCACAGCTCACAGCTGTGCATTGCCAACTTCTGCTGACTCTGCTTCCAGAATGTGTCCAGGCTCTGGTGCTGACTTCTCCGCATCACCTGCTCCTGCTGTGGTTCACCTCTACCACCTTGTCTATTATTCTCTTTCCTGGCTTCTCTTTTTGATCGGTTTCTATTCTTTAAGAACACTCAATTTATAACCACATTGGTTCTGTTCAAATAAAGGTCCCATCACGCCATCTTCCCATGCTTCTGTTGTAACTTAGAGTAAATGCCATCTATTCCAGTAGCTCAAGTGAGCTTGTGTTTCTTTGATCATCTTTTATAATTATTCCCCATTTCAATAAACTAGCATACATGTTCACTGAAAACTAATAGTGAATTAAAATATGTGATTTGGAGGTAAAAATAGCATAAATCTTTCAGAGATACACATTACTTTTTTATTAAATAGTTCTTTTAGAGATTTATTTTTATTTATGTGTTTGTACATAAGCCTGTGTGAGTTTTTATGTGCACCATGTGTGTACAGGAGCCCGTAGAGGCCAGAAGAGGGCATCAGATTACCTGGAACTGGAGTTAGAGACAATTGTGAGCTGTCTGGTGTGGGGTGCTAGGAACTGAACCCACATTTTCTACAAGAGCAGTAAATTCTCTTAACTGCAGAGCCATCTCTCCAACCCTCTAAAAATAATTAAATTAGTAAAGTTGTGACATATTTAGTAAGTGATCCCAAGATGAGTTGGACTAGGAACCCAGAAGGAAGCTTATGAAGCAAAGGTAAGCCATGCTACAAAAAGCTCCAGGGATCTCAGAGGATTTGGCATGAACTAACCGTGCATGAACGGCTGCCTATAGAAAAGTGTAAATTTACAACTGTAATCCACTGTATCACTCTTTTATCCTGTTGTTATGTTTTTATTTATTTTTATTTTAGAAGGGGTCTCTCTATAGCTCCAGCTGACCTGGAACACACTTTGTAGACCAGGCTGGCCTTGTTCTCACAGAGATCCACCTGCCCCTGCCTCCTGAGTGCTGGAATTAAAGGCTTTACCACCACACCCAGCCTCATTCTTTTACCCTGAACTGATGAAAACAGTAAATAGTACTGAGCTGTTTACTTAGGAGATATGAAGAGTTCTTGAAATGGTAAGAGAACCACAGAGTGCTAATGGGTTGGAGAACAAGACACACTAAAGCCCGCTTGGAAGACCAGCCTGGAGCCCCCACTGGACCAGAGCACAGCAGTGGAGGTTAACTTACTTTCTTCAGAAGTAGTGGGAACTCATTGTGCTACTAGGTGTGTTGGTTTGTGTTTTAAACTGGTCATTATATTCTCCTGTTACATCTTTTAAAATATTTTCAGTGATAAACGTAAGTTTAAAATAATTTAGTGAATTGCATATTTTTCAAATTATGGGTTAATCTTTTGAAGATGATTTCATTTAATATGTTACTATGTTTGACAGATGAAGCATTTTGAGAATACTTAACTGTTTATCTTTTTAGAAAGTTTAATGTATTTGAAGGTATCTTGAGCATGCCTATTTTAAGTTCTTTAACCCTGTTTTTTATTATGTAGGTCTTCCTGTGTTTTCAGAAAGTTGCTGCAGAAATCCTGGGAATCAAATTAAACAAAGCAGAAATAGAACAGTCACAGGTGATTATCCTGAAATTTATATTTCAAAAATTAATGAATTTCTGATAAGACATTAATTTTACCCATGAATTCTTTCTCATTTATTCATTTTGTGTACATATCCTTGAAAATCTTGAAAATAGATTGTTTATATAAATGAGTGCTTATTGCAGAAGTTGGAGAATGTTAACTTTTTACAAAATTGTGATACCCTTGGAACATCATTTTGTCTCTTTCAGTGGAAAGAAAAGATTAATATAGTTTTTATCAATGATTAGCTAATGGGTTAAGGTTCAGACAATCTTGTTTTGTATTTCTTTTTGTTTGTTTGTTATTTTTGAGAGAGAGCCCCACTGAGTGGCCTGTGTTGGCTTCAAACACATGATCCTCCTGCCTCAGCCTCCCAAGTGTGGAGGTTACAGGCATAGGCACCATGCTTGTACTTCTTTTAGATTCTTTGAGGCTATCTGTTCATCTTTAAAACACCTACTCTAGTGCTAATTCTTGATATTATTTTATTTTCAGTTTGATAGCATTTTTACTTACTAAAGATTTCTGTGCTCTTTCTCTATGCCTAAACAATTTTATACTAACTAATAAACATAAATATTGGCAGCCAAAAACTTAAAAATGCCATTTTAATTGTACTACAAATCACATGGTGTTTTAGAAGAAAATTTTGAGCAAGAACAATTTGGTTAGAGACAACAGACTAACATTTCTCCTCAGTAGCCCCCTCTCCATCCCCTGCAACTAGGGATGATTATCTTTACCATTCTTCAGTTTCTATTTAATTCCCTTAGAATTAGTTCTGCAGCTTAGTCTTGTGGCCACTCTGTGTGCATGTGTGTGTGTTAAAACAATTAGAACATATTAATTGAAAATTGGTATATTGAGATGGCTGCTGCTAGGACTTACTAAAATATTTAAAGCTCTGGAAATTTGTTCTTTTTAATTCTTGTCATTCAAAGGCATTTATTTTAACATTTGCTGTGACCAAATACAATGGTAAGAGATTTTTGTGCTATGTAAGTGCCTTCCAGACATATACAAAATAAACTACAAGAAAAAACATAAACCCATGATTTGCTTGATCACAGAGGCTTCTGCAGGCCTTAGAGGTTAAGACTTTTCATTGCTTTTTAACCCCCGCCCCCCCATTATTTCACTACACAGCCCTGACTGGCCTGTAACTCACTTTGTAGACCAGGCATGCCTCAAACTCACAGAGATCCACCTGTTTCTGCTTCCATAACACGGGGATTAAAGTTAGGTGCTACCATACCCACTTTAGCTTCTCTTTTTAGTGAGGGTTCTCTCTGGCTAATTGGTGAGCCTATGCATGTTTATCAAATGGTAATAAGCGATTTTTCATTGTATACTGTATATGAAATATAATGGTGAACCTAAAATAGACTTAAAGGAGTTGAACATGTAGTCTCTGTCTCCTGTGAAGAAAATGAGCACATGTGCCAGGCACTGTTAGTTCATATAATATTAATAATATTAATAACTATCTTGAACAGATAGAATTTTGCATTTTACCACCAGAATGCTGAGACTATAGGGAAAGCCAGGTGACTTGATCACTAAAACATGGTTAGCCAGTGGTGGAGCCAGGATTTGAATCCAGGTCTGCCCGACACTAGTGCCTTGCTGCTTCTATTTTACCATACTGAGGAAAGTGTAGTGGGCAGATTAGCTAAGTACAGAGTACAAAAGTGACTGAAAGCTGAACTGTTTGAATCTGGGTAGGAATAGCTTAGGTTACAGTCTGAGACCAAAGAGCAGTTTGTTGAGTAAGCGACAGTTTTACAGGAGTACGAAGGGAGTTTCAGAAGTGGTTATGAGGTTCATATAGGCCAAGTTGTTGAATTTTATCAAACTTACAGAGACTGGGAAATAGTTTTTAGGAAGGGAAATAAATGAAAGCAGTTTTCAGATAAAATTAATCTAATGGAGGTATTTTTGTGTGTAGCTGGGTGGAAAGGAAATTGAGGTAAGGAGACTGGGCTACTGCTGTATGTGATAGTGACCAGAGTCAAGGTGGAAAAGACAGGAGGGATGAAGGGACATTTCAAAGAATCTGGGCCAGTAAGATGGCTCACTGGGTAAAGGCACTTGCTGCCAAGCTTGGTGACCTAAGTCCGATCTTTGGAACCCCTGAGGTGGAAGGAGAGAACTGCCTCCCACAAGTTGTCCCCTGATCTCCACATGTGTGTGCACTCCCTAAATAAGCAAATAAACAAATAAATGTTAAAAATTATATTCAAAGAGGAATCTATCACATTGGGTTTTTGTAATAATTATATAGGGGAGAAAAGAACAGGTAACCTTGAGATTTCTTTTTCAAACATTCATTCATTCATTCATCATTCATTTTTGTTTGTTTTTATTTTTGTATTGAAGCTGGAACCTAGGGTCTCATACATAGGCAAGCACTCTAGACCTCAGAACTACATTTCCAGTGTCCCTAAAGTGACTTTCTTGGTGTTTGTGTGTGGTGCTGGGAATTTAGACCAGGGCCTCACGTTATGCAAATGCTGTTCCATTGAACTACATTCCCAGCCCTTAACCCCTAGAGGAATAGAGACCCCAAAGACTGGGGGGCATCTCTAGAGGGGAAATTGGCTGCTGCTTCACAATAGGGGTCTGCCTGCCCCGAGGGGCCACTCTAAACTACCCAGGGAAGTAGGGGCACTGGGATACTTTTGGAAGACACCTTGGGTTGAAAGACAACTACTAGTCCTAGCTTCCTGTGTCAGAAGAATTGGTTCACTGCTTTGGCCTAACGCCCAGGCATAGCCAATGAGGTGACTTTGATGTGTTGGCCACACAGATCTCTGCTGTCCTGCAGACTCCATCTCATTTGTTATACTTGGAGGTTCAAGTCTCTCTTTAGTTTATAGGTAGAGCTTACTTTTTTCTTTTTTGTGATATTAACAGGAATTAAAATTTTTCTGTATTTTCCAGTGAACATGTATTATTGGCATAATAAAAAAATATACTTAGAAGACAAAAGTAAATCCTGGACATTCTATTTCATCAACTTCCCGTGGCCTGGGGTAGATGCCTCATTTTTGAACTCCTTTCTTTAGTAAAATTAGCTGTATAAAATTTCTTACCATATCCAGATTTTTTATTCTGAATTTGCCATCCAACTAAGTACCATTTAGGTTCAGTCTGGGTTTAAAAAGAAAGGGGAGAAGGGATGAGGAAGGAAAAGAAGGAAGGAGGGAGGGAGGGAAGGAGTGAACCAGCAGAGCCACAGAAGATTTTCTTTACTTTGTCCATTTCATGTGTTGTTGAAGAAGAAAATTTCTGATCTCAAGGGGCCAGAAAAGATAATATGAGCAAAAGAATTCAGGAGCTATCACCTAGCCTCAGGTTTCCAAAGATGACGTAAAAGTTGATTAGTGTCAATTCATTCTGTGGTGATGGGTTTCCAGGGTCGGTCTCATTGAGGTTGTCATGTACTTTTTCTGTACTCAGCCCTTACCTTCTGTGGCTCCCCTTTGCACTGGTCCCATTCCTCTTCCTAAATAGTCCCCTCCCCCTTTCGTAGTATGTGTATGTCATATATGTATTTCATGTTAGCCATTTTGTTAAAAGACATACAATCACTATTCCTTACATATGAGAAAACATGCAATATTTATCTTTGTGATTCTGATGTATTTCTCTTACTATTATGATCTTTAGTTCCATCCACTTAAAGCTGGCAAAGATTTCCTCCCATTCAGTAGGCTGGCACCTCACTCAGCTAATTGTTTCTTTTAGTGTGCAGAAGCCTTTTAATATTCCTGCCGTTATTTCCAGGTTCTTGGAGTTCTTTGCAGAAAATCCTTGCCTCGTCATGTGTCTTGAAGTGTCTTCCCTATATTTTCCCTGAGCAGTTTCAAAGTTTCAGATCCACCTTAAGATTTTTTTATTTAGTTTGAATTGATTTTGTGCAGGGTGAGAGTTAAGGACTGAGTTTCACTCCAACATGTGGGTATGTGTTTCCCCAGCAATGTTTGTTGAATGGGCTACCTTTTACTTATTCGTCTGAAGGTGCACCTGAGCTACTAGAGCCGCCTCTATTACAGACATTGGAGTGTTGTGTATGACGGAAATTTCATCATTGCTTCTGTAGCCTGATGAATTGGTGCTTTTGCCAAGTCAGTAATTGATTTCACAGGTGATAGTTCTCAATGGAAACATTCTGAAAATTCAGAGAATAAAAAAATACATAGTTTAGTGTGGTGGTATGAGCTTGTAGTCTAGTGCTTGGGAGGCTGCAGCAGGAAAACCATTTGAGCCCATGAGTTTGGGCAACATCGGGAGACTCCAGCTTAAAAACACAAAACAAAACCCCTACCATGTAACTATGGAGAGGGAGGGAAGGAGAGAGGGAGAGAGGGAGGGGGAGGGGGGAAGGAGTGAGTGAATTAGATGAATGAGCTGTCTAGATTGTGTACGTGTGTGTGTGTGTGTGTGTGTGTGTGTGTGTGTGTGTGTTTTGCGCGAGTTTTCTGTCATCTTTATGATATTTTGAAAGATTCCTGGGGGGATTCAAGCTGATGCTTCCAAGTATTTTTTTTGTTTGTTTTGTTTTTAATTTTTATGAAGAAATAAATGGCAAACTCATCAGTCACAGGGGTGTTGACATTGTAGTAATTTGGTTTGTGACCTAATTATTTATGATGAGGACTTGGTTTTTGATCAATGCACTGATCATTTACATTCTGCAGTTTTAGTTCTAACCTAGATTGCTTCTGTTTCGGAGTCACAGACGTTTACGTTACTAGCACGTTTTAGAAGCTTTGCAAGAAGAAAATGGGGAAAAGGAAGAAAGAAAGTGCAGTCGGCTTAAAAATGCTTTTATTATTTTTATTTTATGTTAAAATATTTTAGTTGAATTTTTGTGTATTTTATACAAAACATCTTAATCATCTTTATGCCTCCTTCCCCATTTGCACCTCCCATCCCTCCTTCTCCCACTGGATTTCATGCATTCTGTCATTTATGTTAAGGCCTAT